GGCAGAGAAACAGAAATGGGAAGTATCAAAGAAGCCATTCAAGGAAAATGACCAGAAGGGAAGAAATAATGTATCACTGGTTGTTCTGCGTGATGAGATTATGTATGACTTCTCCCTCTCCTTTGAATTTTCCAAGTTCTATGTAAAAATATCTCTTAAAATGAGGGGGTAATGTGTGGTTTCAGTATTACCAACATTGCCCCAGGACATCTAAATCACAGGTGGTCCTGGTTTCCATAGAATGAATGTGTAAAAGGAGCATGTTGAAAGGGGTAACCTGAACTCAGTCATTTAACCAGAGCTGGTGATATCACTAGGACCAAATCAGACTCATTTTCCTGCCTGCAGGAAAGTGCCCTTCTAGAGGGCTGCCCTAAGCCGCAGGACTATGTGGGTATTTTATTTTTATTCTCATTTGTTCTTTGTTACTGAACACCCATTACTCTACATGAATTCCACTTGGGTCTTGGGTCGTCAGCCCTGGCCTACAGGAATATGAACCACCCATCCTGCTGTTCTCTATGGGGGGCTGAGCTGTTCCTGCTGCTTTGGTATCCTCTTCCAGCCCTGCATCCTAGCGTCCCTCTTCCACAAAGCTTTGAAGCTGAAAAACTTGGTGGGCTTGAAGAGGCTTTTTGGTAGCTGCTGACCTTTGGTGCTGGGGCTCTTTTTCTGCCTTTCCCCCTCCCATAGTTTGTGAGCGCACAGCCTTGGCAGAGGAAGACATGTGCAAGAGTCTAGGGGTGGGGAAGGGATGCTGCGCTTTCCTGTAGATACTGACCACTGTGGTCTTTCTTGGGACAAATCCAGTGCAGATGTTGAAAGCCAAACCACAGAATGCATCTGTCATCCAACTCTTCTAAACGTTTTGTCTTTGTAGATAAAGGCTGTTCGATTAATATTTCATGGATGACATAACTATAGACCTCTTAATGACTGTTATTAATTTGTTACAAACATTTGGATGACAGACGTCATCTATTGGATGTTTCTATTGTTTAGCCTTTTTATTATAGAAAAAATCAAACATATCACAAAATAGAGGGAAAGCAATAAACCCACATGTATCCCAGCCGTCCCACGTGGATCCCAGCCATCCTGCGCGGATCCCAGCCATCCTGCACGTATCCCAGCCAGCATCAGCAGTCACCCACTCGTGACTCATCTGGTTCTGTCTCTCTCTAACGCTGCTCCCAACTCCCACCCCGTGGTTTAATTTAACACAAATCCTGAAATCATATTATTTCATACAGAAACATTTAGTACGTATCTCTAAAATACAAACTTTTTTTTTAAGGACTACCTAATTATGTTTAAATATCCAGTTAGTGTTCAGATTTCCCCAGTTTGTCTCAGACACAGTTTCTGTTTATTTTTCCAAATTGAGATCCAGATAGGATCTATACATTGATTGGTGTGTTTCTTAAATATTTAAAAATCCTTCTTTGTCCATTTATTTTTCCTTGTAATTTATTTGTTAAAGAGTCATTTGTTGGCTGGGCGCGGTGTCTCAAGCCTGTAATCCCAGCACTTTGGGAGGCCGAGACGGGCGGATCACGAGGTCAGGAGATTGAGACCATCCTGGCTAACACGGTGAAACCCCGTCTCTACTAAAAATCCAAAAAAAAAAAAATTAGCCGGGTGTGGTGGCAGGAGCCTGTAGTCCCAGCTACTCGGGAGGCTGAGGCAGGAGAATGGCGGGAACCCAGGAGGTGGAGCTTGCAGTGAGCCGAGATCATGCCACTGCACTCCAGCCTGGGCGACAGAGAGAGACTCCGTCTCAAAAAAAAAAAAAAAAGAGTCATTTGTCTTCTCTTCACTGGAAAATAGAGATAGTAAAGTTCCAGATTATTAGGACCACTTGAAATCACAACAAAATGTTCTAATGTTTAAAAAAATAAATGTCCGAGAGGAATTTATTCCATGTCTCTAATTAAAAGTCACCTTGTGAGCGTGAGGCCCTCCTTGGGCACCCTATGTACAATTTCGCCTTCCCCAAACCCTTGGTACTTACCTTCCATTCCTGTTTTATTTTTCCTCCTAATGCCCAGAGCTACCTACTGTATATTTTACTTGCTTCTTGTCTGCCTCTGCTCTAGAATATAAGCTCCACATGGTTTTGTGATTTGTCCTCTGCTCTATCCCCATCCCTGGCTAGATGAATGAAGATGTATGAAGGCAGGGCAGAAGCAGCGTGGGGATGGGTGTGTAGAGGAGGGCAGGTGGCGTGAAGCGTGAGGAGGAAATTCTCACTGTGCCCTTCGCCTTTTTGATGTGTCATATGCATGGGATGCCGATCCCTGTAAAGTTCCGTGAGAAGTTCAGATGATGACTCTCTTCTGCTTGTCATTCAATGATGGAGGGGCCTCTCTGCAGACGCTGGCTTGGTCTCTTGGCCTCTTTACCCCACTGCCAGCTCGGGCCTCATCTCAGAGCCACAGGCTGGTTTGACCAATTTTATCAATAGAGACTGGGCTGGGGACCCATCCTCTCAGAACATCACCAACAGTGTGCAAAAGTGTCCCAGTGAGGGTGGCGGTCGTCAGCAGTTTGTCTTGATTCAGAACACATTGTCCAACCTTTAGCGTGGTTGGATCGTGGGCCAGCTGCGAAGCCACATACTGGAAGGCAGCGAGAACAGCCTGAATGAGCCACTGCTGTGCTGTGAGCCAGGTGTGGCCTTGAACAGGGCCCGCCACCGTCCCTTGGTCTCCTCATCTGTAGAAAAGGGATGATGCGCGTTCGCCTCTGCAGGGTTGCTGGGAGCCTTTTGTGCTGTCCAGCGATGCAGGGCTGTTAGGGTGGCTCCTCCAGTCAGCCTGCGCGAGAGGGCAGCATTCTGGCCACGCTGGATAACACTGAGAGACAGAGACCCTGCCTCTCCTGTGGGCCAGGGCAGGCCCAGGCTAACTGGAGGGAGGGATATGGCTGGATCTGCAGGCTCCGTTATCTGTTTTGGGCATGGGGAGAGGAGACACTTTTGGACTGTTGTAGCTGAGTGGGGTTGATGCATCTCCCCCCAACCCCTCACAGTCCCAGGGGTCTTGCAACCCCAGCAGTGCCCCTAGGAGCCCCCAGGCTGTGCTGGCATTGTCTTAGGAGGTTCTTGCCACACTGACAGAGTGTGTGTCTCTGGGACAACTCATGCTCTTTCCTGGAAGCGCTAGTCTGGATATGTGGTACTGGATGTTTTTTCCAGTGAGATGCTGGGCGTCCTGTGAAGGGCAGTGCACACCAGTGGTAAGCAGCCTGCACAGCCCCCACCCTGCCGTTCCATTGCACCTTGGGGAACCACATTTGCACGTCCATAGAGAAGAGGATTTTTACTACTGATGGTACCAGACCAATAGATTTAGATTATTTTTTGGGCTATATGAAGTCCATAAAGTACTTTTTTTTTTTTTTTTTTTACTTTATAGATTTATGTCATCCAGTATGGTAGCCACTAGCCATATGTGGCTCTTTTTAAGTTTAAATTCAAAGAGTAACATGAAATAAAAATGTAAACCCAGTTCCCCAGTCCTGCTAGCTTTGTTTCATGTGCTCAGTAGGCACGAGGAGGCAGTAGTTCCTGAATTAGTACAGGTTATAAAACATTTCCATTATAGCAGAAAGTTCCATTGAACAGTACTGTAAATATTCCTATTCAAAGATGAATGAGTGTGGAGAGGACATGTCAGGGCACTTAGGAGACAGCTGAGTGGCAGTTGATGGAAAATTATTGTAATTTTAACCTCATTTTCATTTCTTGATAAAATACTTCTCAAAGCAAACTTTTCAGAGGAAGACTTGAGGTTCCCAGTATTGACACATTCCATTAAAAGGTTGAACCCGCAGCACTCTCAACTCTTCAGTTGCCTGTCACATTTTAGCACAGTCAGGGACACGGGGTGCCTGTGCTTAGCCAGGGGGTGACTCCTTCCTGCCCTGACTCCACACTCTGCTGGAAAGTCCCCTCTGGGGAACGTGCCTGATTAGAAACTTTCATAGCAATTTATTTCTTTTGAGTTAGTGGAAAAGAAAGGTCTCATCACTCTTGGTTTGCCACTTGTGATTCTACTAAAGGAAGGAAAAAGAAACCGGTTGATGAAACAGATACTTTTCTAGAAGGTCTACTAGAAGCTTTTCTGTTTTGCTTAGTGGGTTCATAGCAGCAGAGCTCAGACGAAGTGAGGGGAGCCCTGGGCACAGATTTACGGGGGCATTCACTCTCAGGTGCCAACGTTGTACTACGTGGGCCAAGGAGGGAGTGTCTCCTTACATTTTGCACTCCGGGTGCCTGGCTTGCCTCACTTTTGTCCCATCCTGGGCTGGCTCTCATGGGGCCCGTTGACCCTTCACTCTGGTGGGCTGGCTGCATGGTTCTAGGAATTCTGGACTTGCACATGTGTAGCCCCTTTGGCACATAGACACATACTGTGTCTGAGCCTCTGTCACACTGAACCCCTCAGGTAGGGAGCGCATCTCTCTGATCTTTCTACACCTGATCAGAGTAGAGGACTAGTAAGTGGCTAATGAATGATTCAATGAACAGATCAGTCCTCTAGGGGTCCACTCACTGAATTGAAGAGTGAAGAGTTCTCTTAGACTTTTCCTTTAAGATTTCAGAGAACATCTAGCATTGTAGCCTGCAAAGCTCCACATTTCTGCACAGCTGGGCTCTGGCTGCACACAGTGAAGCAGAGAGTCCTCCCAGCAGTGCGACAATGGATGAGTGCTGTTTCCCTTACTTGCCTTTTCCTAGAATTTCTTTCCTTTCAGCATCAGGGTTTAGTTACTTTACTAGAAACCCCAGCCTCAGGAGTGGTTCTCTTCTCTTCCCTCCTTTCCCCTGCTTCCTCCAGAGTTTCTGCCATGGCCAGACTGTCCTAGAAGCACATGGCTGGGCCCGGGGTAGGCCTCAATTTGGGGAGGCGTGGGGGAAAAGCAGCAATCACCTGGGGGTGGGAGGCCCCTTTGTGGACTCAGTGTTACATGCTTCTCTTCTCTGCCTCCCACAGAGTGTATTAAAGAAGAGGGACCAAGTTCAAGCAGAGTACGAAGCCAAACTGGAAGCTGTGGCTCTGCGGAAGGAAGACCGCCCCAAGGTCAGGGAAGCCACCTGGGAAGGGCTGCAAAGCTGTGGTCTCCCTGCTGGTGCTAAGTAAATTCTCATCTCTAGATCTGTGTGACTACGCGTGGTCAGTGCCGGCTGGGCTACGTTGATGAAGTTGCCCTTTTTCACTCCCTTTTCTGTCCTACTTTTGCGAGTTCCTAGTGTTCACTTGGGATTGAGTTTTCTACTGTTTCCTGGGCCTAATTTTTTTTTTAAAGACTTAACAGCTCTGCCATTCATGAGCAGTTCCTTGCTCCATAGAATGGCATTGCAGAGAGGAGGAAAGAATAGCCTAGATCAGTGCTTTCAAAGTGTGGTTCATAGGCCCACAAACTCTACAATCCATGATCAGGAAAGTATAGAAGCACTTGGAAACTTCTATAGGAATTTGATGTTGCTGCAGAACCAGTTGTACACATTGTGTTGAACACTCAAGACGAGCGTGTTAAACTCGCGTGAGGAGTTGCGCGTGGAGCAAGCTGCATGCTGGTTCTGCACAGCAGGACTACAACTTGGTCGAATTGGGGAAAAAAAGCCAACAAAAAGTGGCCCTTTACTCCCCAGAGTTCGAGCAGCACTAGTCTCGCTTGTCTAGGATGCCTTCTGGCTCCAGTGTTTGTAACTGCTCAGTGGGTTCACCTTGCCCTCTGCCTAGACAGAGCTGATTTATCAAGACAAGGAACTTGTAATGGCGTAAGAGTAATTCATGCAGAACCAGCTGTATGGGACACTGGAGTTTTACTATTATTCAAATCATTCTTCCTGAGCGTTTGGGGATCAGAGTTTTGAAAGATAATTTGGTGGGTAGGGGCTTAGGAAGTGGGGAGTGCTGATTGGTCAGGTTGGAGATGGAAATATAGGGGGTGGAAGTGAGGTTTTCTTGGGGTCTTCTGCTCCTGGGTGGGATTGCAGAACTAGTTGAGCCAGACTACCACCTGGGTGGTGTCAGCTGATCCATCGAGTGCAGGGTCTGCAGAACATTTCAAGCCCTGATCTTAGGTTTTACAGTAGTGATGTTATCTCCAGGAACTATTTGGGGAGGTTTAGGCTCTTGGAGCCAGAGGCCTCATGACCCCTAAACCTTAATTTCTAAGTAGCTAATTTGTTAATCCTGCAAAAGCAGGCTGGTGGCCAGGTAAGAAGGAGGTCTTTTCAGGAAAGGGCTATAATCACTATTGTTTCAGAGTCAAACCATAAACTGAATTCCTTCTCAAGGCTAGTTCATCCTACACCCAGGAATGAACAAGGACAGCTTAAAGGTTAAAAGCAAGATGGAATGAGTTAGGTCTGATCTCTCTCACTGTCATAATTTCCTCAAAGGCAGTTCTCTGTTTTGGGTCTAGACAGAGGATCACAGTTGTAAAAATGCATCTGTTGTATTGGTCACCCTGTTTGTTGTCTTTCTCTTCCCTGAGCCGGGATTAAAAATGAGTAATAATGGCAAATATGCAAGTGCTTGCCCTTGCAGCATGCTAAGCGCTCTCGCTGTCTCTTGCACGTTTGCTCTACACACACTCACAGTTGGCCCTCCAGATCCGTGGGTTCCACATCTGCAGATTCAGCCCATTGCAGATTGAGAGTATTGGGGGAAAATAAAAATAAAAAATAATAATAACAACAGTAGAAAATAACACAAGGAAAAAAAACTAATGCAGTACGGGTTGCCTGTCTCTTATCCCAAATGCTTAAAATTAGAAGCGTTTCAGATTTTGGGATATTTGTGTATACATAATGAGCTATTTTAGGGGCAGGACCAAAGTCTAAACATGAGATTTATTTCTGTTTCTTATATACCTTATACACATAGCCTAAAGGTACTTTTATAGAATATTTTAAATAATTTTGTGCATGAAACAAAGTTTTGACTGCAACCCATCACATGAGGTCAGATGTGGAGTTGCCCACCTCTACCATGTTGACCCTCAAAAAGTTTCAGATTTTGAACCAGGCACAGTGGTGCAGGTCAGTATTTCCTCTTACTGGGAAGGTTGAGGTGGGAGGATCCCTTGAGGCCAGGAGTTAGAGGCTGTAGTGTGTTATGATTGCGCCTGTGAATGGCCATTGCACCCCAGCCTGGGCAGCATAGAGAGACCCCATCTTAAGAAAAAAAAGGTTTTGGATTTTGGGTTATTTTGGGTTTTCAGATTGGGGATGCCCAACCTGTATAACAATGATGTATAAGGTATTTATGTTGTATTAGGTATTATAAGTAATCTAGAGATGATTTAAAGTATACAGGAAGCTGTGCATTGGTTATATGCAAACACTACATGATTTTATATAAGGGGCTGTTGTTGAACATTCACAGATTTTGATATCTCAGAAGTCCTGGAACCAATCCCCACCCCACCCCACCAGATAGCGAGGCGACAACTGTGTGTGTGTGTATGTGCATGTATGTGTAAAATCTCATTGATTCCATACCACAACCATGAGGTTTAGGTACCTTTATTATCCCCATTTGAGAGGTGAGCACACCAAGGCCCAATGTCACACAGCTAGCGCTGGTAGAGCTAGGATGGCACCCTGCAGTTTGACTTTAGAATCTTGCCACCTACCATTCCGTCACTCTACCTCTTTTTGGTTCGTAAGTGGAAGGTGTATTTGTTTTCAAAGAGGGGGGTGAGGGTGGAGAACGTTAGTAAGATAATAGCAAGGACCCGCATTTCAGGGAAATGGTTTGACATCAGAGCTGCGGGGTTTTCCTCTTTTGCTGTGGTTCCTGCTGCGGCTGCCATGCCAAGACATACCTGGAAAGGAACCAGCTTTGGAATTTGAAACTCACACCTCAGAAATGATAAACCTTGGCTTTGTGTAGTGTCTTTAATGTTAATTGCATCACAGGATCACTGCAGTGGTCATCTGAGGCCCAGAGGGAAGGCATTGTTCTTTCCCCGTTTCATGGGTGAGGAAATGAGGCACAAAGGAGCTGGACAAATTGCCCAGCCTCTTTGATGCCGAGTGGCTCTCCATCCTGTGCATGTTTGTTGTGTTGATTCCAGCATCACCGGTAGTGATCTACACCAGAGCGTAAAGGCTGCATATATCTACAGAAAGGCAATGATGAGGATTGGAACTGTGGTCACTGGCCCAGCGTATGCAGCTGGCACCCTCCCTCTGGTTCCTCCTGCCACAGCTGTTCTCCTTCTTCCATCCTGTTTGTCTATCATAAGGGAGGTGACAGCAGAAATGCAGCCATGTGCTCACAACTGCCCTCTGCCTGCCTGTGGCCTGCTCCACTGACGAGTCCTGAACTGGCCTGTGATATTCTGGAACATCTGCTGAGCCATGTCTCGGTCTCATTTAAAGGAATGACTTAGGATGATTTTTTTGTGTGTATTTTAAAAGTTTCCTTTCAATGAAGGGATTTAAAGGGATGACATAGGATGATTTGTTTGAATATGTTTTAAAAGTTTGCATTTAGCCCGCAAATGTAAAGATGTAAGTCATTCACAGAAAAACAGATAACTGCATGATCTCACTTATATGTGAAATCTAACAAAGTTGAAGTCATAGAAACAGAGAATAGAACGGTGGTTGCCAGGACTCAGGATGGGGGAAATCATGGTCAAAAGGTACAAACTTTCAGTTATAAGGTGAGCAAAATCCTGGGTATTCCATGCACAGTGTGGATGGTGATGGATGTGTTCATTAATTTGATTGTAATCATCACTACACAGTGTGTACATGTATCAAATCATCACGTCATATGCCTGGAGTGTATATACTTTTATGTGTCAGTTAAATATTTAAGGAAAAATAGAAGTCACTTTTCCTGGCTAGGGAGGGAAGGAGAACCAACAAGTTCTGCCACTGGCCTAGTTTGGAAACCGAGGATTCTGCATCTTAAAGACATCATGTGTGTGGTTCTGTAAATAGCATCTGTACAAGCTCAGCACTGAATACAAGCTTTCTCAGAGGCTGATACTGTTATTTAATATGTTCAGCCCTATACAGGACACATTCGTTTCCAAAGCCAGGAGCTGAAGTTTCGGAATAATAGGCCGAGTTAAGTCTTAAGCACGCCTGGCTTGCTGGCTGCTGGCTGCTGGAAGCACACGCCAGGCTTGGAGCAGTCTTGAGCAGAGGGAGACACTGGTTTTGGCGCCCTCAGACCCCACAGCTGCCTGCCAGGGCTCCTGGCCTTACATTCCTGTGGGTCTGGGTGATTCCTGTCAACTCCCCGCGCTGTGGAAATCTTTGGCTGCTGCCATTCTCCGCCTTCCTGGACTCCACTTACCCACATGGCTCATCCTCTTGGCCACAGGAATTCTACCAGAGGCCAAGGGATTCCTCCCCGTCAGTGAAAATGACTAGTCAGTCCTGAACACACAGCTGCGTTCTCCTAGCACACTGTGGCCAGGCTGTCTTCACCTTCTCTCTTCCTGGTGGGATGTTGAACCGTGCCACATTCACTTTGCTACTTATTTAGCAATTGTTATTTTTAAAGACAAAATGGACTGTCAGGGTGGTGTGCCAGTGAGTGTAAAGTAGCAGTGGCGGCAGCAGAAATCCTTTGCCACCTTTGGGTCTGGGGCAGCAGCTGCCTTGGTGGGCAGAGGAGGGTGCAGTTGGCAGCCTGTCCAAGTCCAGCACGGTTCAAGCACAGGATTTAGAATCGGAGGGCCCTGGGTTCAAAGCCCAGCTGTGCCCCAGCTTGCCCAGATCTGCTCCTCAGCCTTTGCGGGCCTCCATTGCCTCACACACGTGATTGTCGTGATGCCGTAAGGTGCTTGGCGTAGTGTCTGACGTCGTGACAGACGCTCCCTTGGAGGAGCCTCCCATGTCCACACTGGCTGCAGTAGGAATGTGGGCGGAGAACTTTGTTTTCTGGGTTTGCTGTCACATATTTTAAGAAGTCCCTTTTCTGACCACAATGTTTTAGACATTGTTTCCTGTGTCCTCAAGCTTCTCCTGCCTCCCTACCCCTCCACACACCTGTCCTCCCCGACAGCCCATCAGGAGGTTTGGTGGATGCCAAGGAAATGAGCA